TTTTATATATATATATATATATATATATATATATATATATATATATATATACACACAGTATATATATACGGTGTCTCTGCTGCAGTGATTCAAGGAACTCGCTGAACCCAGCTGAGCAATGACTTGGCTTTTCTGTTCTCCTTTTCTCTCGTCTATAGAAACTCAAGTTCCCAACCAGCCGAGCTCTCTGCACGTGCGTCCACTGCCCAACAGCATCATCATGAGCTGGACTCCGCCGCTGAACCCCAACATCCTCGTGCGCGGCTACATCATCGGCTACGGAGTGGGCAGCCCATACGCCGAGACCGTGAGAGTGGACAGCAAGCAGCGCTACTACTCCATCGAGAACTTGGGTGAGAAACACGACTTAAGCCGGGCACACTCTGTGCGATTTTTAATAGTCCTTTACAGGCATATAACGATATCAAAATCTCACGATATGGTATTATTGCAATATGAAGTCCACGATACAATATTTATTGCGATATTTAAAAAGACAAATTAATAAATGGGATTTTTTTTTTTTTTTGCACATTTTAATGTTAAATTCTTCTATCTAATGCACTTTTAAAAGTTCAAAATTAAGCGCTCCAACCCATGTTTCTTAACTAAGAAAACTTAAGTCAGTGAATTGACTTGTAGCTGAACTTTAAAAGGGACTCAACCCTCTTTTTATTTGTGATATACTGTCTCAGTCTAAATTACATTCACACTGGTGTTTTAGGAAGCCAAACAAATTAGAATAGAATAATAATAATAATAATAATAACAGTGACAGTAATAGCCATATATTGTAAAACAATTGCACTGTAAAATAAATGAAAATTAATATTTCATAGGTGTATTATTTTTTCTTTACACTACAGTAGGGAAATTACAATAATTATTTCCTAATTTCTACACTTGAAAGAGATATTTTGAATTCGTACTGCATTTAAACCGCTAGCTGTCAGCAATTCATACAGCACTTTAAAGCTTTTATTTTTACGGAAACTCCAGCTTCAGTGAAAACAGGCTTACAAAAACACATCTCACTACAAATCTAGTGAAATGCTGTAATCATCTGCCGTGAAAATAAAGCATAAGTGGTGGCTGTTGTGTTCCCAGACAGAACGTGAAATAAACGAGTTCACTGCATTCATTCAGTGTGAACGAGTCGTTCTGAGATGCATCGGATCATGAGCTGATCGTCTGAACGAAGTGCGCACTTCACTTTGAAACAGACTTGATGAAGGGATTAAGCCATATTATATCATATAGGATTTTCAAAATTGGTCTCAGACGACCAAATCCTGGCCTAAATCACACCGTGTGAGCCGGGCTTTTAACAGCAGTTCTGTCAGGTCATGTGATCCGAGAGTCATTTGCATTGATTCATTCAGAGAGTCTCTGCTGTCATTCAGATCCCTTATTATAGATCATTGATCACCTGATGAGCAGCACTCATCAACATATTGTTATTTGAAAGCTCTTAAGTGCTTGTTATGAAAAGCGGTGCGAATTCATTTACTGAAATGGCTTCCCGTTCATTTCTTCATTATGAAGAATGAAATTAGAATCTTTTATTTAAAGGCATCTAATTTGAGAACAAGTGAGGTGTGAATTGATTTTTTCTCATCACACCTGACAAAAGACACAATGACAAATCTCGGATTTTAATATTCATGAGTAGGCGCGGTTAGTTCAGCGCTCATGAATACGTAATGGAAGCTTGTTTGAGCTCAAACACGCTCCCTCGTGTTAAAGCACGCTAATGTTTTATTTATTCTATTTTTCTGAGATTACACAGAAAAACGGATGTCAAGAGGAGTTTACGACTCCCTGAATAGCTTCATTAAAGCGCGTTCGTTTCGTCAGCCGTTTGCTCGTGGTGAAATTCTCACCTGCGCTCGGCTTCTGTTCTCTGTACGCTCATCTGGCCTCCTCTTACCTCCGTTCTGGACAAAAATAAGGCCACGTCCTTATCAATATTTCACATGGAATCCACAGGTTGCCATGGCAGCGATATTGAACCGAGAGCGGCTGCCCAGAAGGAAAAGAGAATCGAATGGAAAAGAGGAAAAGAGCATCTTCTGTTTCTTTGTTCAGGGGTTTCATACGGACACAAACAGAGCCATAAATGAATATTTCAAAGCCTCGATCAATTACAGCCTCAGAATGAAACTAGTTGCATCCTGCAGTGGCGCTGCTGGAAACAGAAGAGCGCCTCTTGTGTATTATAAAAATTTAATATTATCATCAATAATAACTTCATTTGAATTTCCTCACTTGATGTCTTGCTTTGTTTGCCGTTGTTTTTCTGCACTTCTGCTGCATTTATTTTTCCCTGAATCACTGAATTATATTTATGTCAGTGATTATTGTCAAGTCTCATTTATTTTATAGCGCTTTATGCAGTACCGATTGTTTCAAAGCAGCTTCACAGAGATTAACAGGAAAATAACAGTGTTGCAAAATTCAACAAAGACAAGTGTCACTATTCAGCTCAGTTTAGTTGAGTAACAGTGCCAATGTTGCAAAATTCATTAATTAAAAGAAATTATAATTAGGGCTGTCAAGCAATTAAAATGTCTAATTTTTATTAATTACATGATGTGCCCCCCAAAAAAGATCATTTAAAATCATTATTGTGTTAAATAGACATTTCAAAACTGTAGCTTTAGAAAGCTACGATATTTTGATTCAACATTGCATAAATAATGATTATAACTATCAATGGTATTAAAAAGTGAATATTTGAAACTAAAATCACCAGAAGGTGGCGGCAAGTCACTGAGAGAGTCATTGAATCATTTACACAACTGATTCATTCAGAAACGAAGCAAGTGGTTCTTTATGAATGAGCCACTGAATCACTGACTCACTTGATTCATTCAAACAGCTGAAACATTCATGAAGCAAGTGAGTCTTTATGAATGAATCACTGACTCACGTGATTCATTCAAACAGCTGAAACATTCATGAAGTGAAGAAAGTGAGTCTTTATGAATGAATCACTGAATCATTGACTCACTTGATTCATTAAAACAGCTGAAACATTCATGAAGCAAGTGAGTCTTTATGAATGAATCACTGACTCACGTGATTCATTCAAACAGCTGAAACATTCATGAAGTGAAGAAAGTGAGTCTTTATGAATGAATCACTGAATCATTGACTCACTTGATTCATTAAAACAGCTGAAACATTCATGAAGCAAGTGAGTCTTTATGAATGAATCACTGACTCACGTGATTCATTCAAACAGCTGAAACATTCATGAAGTGAAGAAAGTGAGTCTTTATGAATGAATCACTGAATCATTGACTCACTTGATTCATTAAAACAGCTGAAACATTCATGAAGCAAGTGAGTCTTTATGAATGAATCACTGAATCATTGACTCACTTGATTCATTCAAACAGCTGAAACATTCATGAAGCAAGTGAGTCTTTATGAATGAGTCACTGAATCATTGACTTACTTGATTTGTTTAAAACCATGGATTCATTCAGTAACGAACCAGACGTTCATCAGTTCTGCCGTGACTTTGATTGGAACTGTTTTTATTTGTGAAATTGAGCAGACAACATTGTGTCTAAAATGTAACAATAGTAACTTCTTGTTTATTGAACTATTAAATCAATATGACATTTGCAGTCGTGCAGATATTGGGGAGAAATGGCACTTTTGCTGGTGTGGTATTGCTAAACTATATCATATATAAATATAAGCGGGTGACTTTTTGCCCTGACTTCTTGAATTTTAGGCTCATATAGCTGCATGAATGAGGCGCTGCATTAAATGCATTGATCACTTTAACACATTTTTTTCATAATCATGCCAAATTAATTATAATATATGAATGTCCACTCTCTCCTCCATATAATGAATCAGTCTCTTGAGCACTGTAGCTTTAAGAGCTTTAATGACTCCAGAGCCTCTGGTCTGATGAATCGCTCACTGAGACGATGCATGTTAATAACTGCTGTAAACGGCCTCATCTCCAGCTCTTCAGAACAGAATCAAGTCAGGTTTTTGTGTTTGTGTGTGTTTGCAGAGCCCAGCTCTCATTACGTCATCTCTCTGAAGGCCTTCAATAACGCAGGTGAAGGAGTTCCTCTGTACGAGAGCGCCGTCACCAGATCCATGTCAGGTGGGTCACCGGAGCATCTCACGTCTGTTTAGATCATTTCTGAGCTTCCCTTCCAGTCTGATTATAGCCATGTGCTTCACACCAGTCTCCCATACGATCACAAACCTTCAGGAGAAACTTCTCAGGAGATATACTGACAGTACTTGATGTGTACTGTATCTTCATAATTATGTTCAGTATTTGCTTTGAAATGATTTTTTCTTCCATTGCATTCTTCCGTTAGTGAGCACAGAGAAATGAGAAGAAATTGAATCAATGTGGTTGATGACTCAAATGAACCATTGAATCATGAGTTTATGTTTTAAATAGATTAATGAAACTGAACAGTTTGAACTGATTCACAGAAATGAATCAAATGAACCAGCTGTGAATCATTTCAAACTTTTCAACTTTAGAGTTGTGTGTTTGTCTGATGATGATGATGATGATGGCTGGGTTGTGTGTTAGTTGTTTCTTGACTAACTGTCTTCTCTCGGTGTCTCTCAGGTGAGGCTGTAGATTAATCTGCTTTACTTGGTGAATCTCACATGCGGCTCATATTTCACTTCAGAATCAGAAAGAGAGAAACAAACAAATATATTTAGCATGAAGAAAATGCAGCTGATTTTAACAGCATATTTTTGTGCATATTTAAGCACATTTAACCCCGAATTCCCATTCTTGTGTTAATTTAATCAGGATAAATTAAATTCAGTGTAAATTCATTTCAGAATCAAAAGAAAGTAATATAAAAATATATGTAGCCTGAAGAAAATGTGTCTGTGCATATTTAAACACATTTAACCCCAAGTCCCAATTCCTGTATTAATTAAATCTGTATAAAATAAATTTAGCTTGAATACTAAGTTTATGTATATATAAATGTACATTTGCAGTACAAATAATCTTTTTTTCCATTACAATCAGCTGCTGAGGATTACTGTTGTGAAAACAATGGTTTCATGTAAAATTGTGAACTTAATTTTAAAACTTAATTTTCTTCATGCAGAATCAAATTTCTAATTTTCCTTTTGATTATGTGTGAAAATATTGTTCATGTTTGCTGAGATTCACCTTGTACACTAAAAAATTGGTAACCTAGCAGTGGTAACATTTAACTGGTTTGATTCGTCAAATATTTTATTTATTTATTTATTTATCTAGTTATTTATTCATTAATTTGTTTATTTCTTTGTTTAATTATTTATATATTTATTTAGTAATTAATTAATTATTTTAACATTTAGTTTTAATTATTTTATCTATTTGTTTATTTTTATCTATTGATAGTTAATCAATTTCTTTTTAATTGTTTATTCATCTATTTGCTTGTATTTATTTATTTATGTATTTATTTAAATTTCATGTAACTAAATCCACCTAAATACGTGAATTCATTTGAATTTTTACGGTCTAAATCTGTGGGTTACCACTTTTCACGGTGTAGTTCTTCTGACTTTCACCTTTACCTGTTTGTGTCACTATCTAGAGCTCAATGTTCTTCTTTGTGTCTCTTTTTTCCTCTGTCACTCCATTTTCCACTCTTTTATTCCTGATCCGTCCTGTCCGCTCTCATCTGCAATCACATATGATTTGCTGCATGAACATGACTCCACACAGACCCCTCGGACCCGTCCGATGACGATCTGTTCCATCTGTTTGATAAATTCCCTACCCCCATCCCAGATACGTCCACGCCCATGATTCCTCCTGTAGGTGTGCAGGCCGTGGCGCTCATGTCCGACTCGGTGCGCGTCAGCTGGGCCGATAACTCCATTCCCAAGAACCAGAAGTCCTCAGAGGTGCGCTACTACTCCGTCAAGTGGAAGACCAGCCACTCCACCAGCAGCAAATACAAGGTCAATACCAGTGCTTTTCAATCAAATAACTCATGGATACCATGGTAAACCAATATGGGAATTAGTCAGTGCCATGGTGTTAAACTTTGAATCAGATCAGACTCCATTGCACTTATTTGTTAAGATCTTAAGCTTAATGTGCTTGATGCTCGTCATACAGATGCATTTAAATGTGTTTCATTAAGCGTGTTATTTTAGTATCTTTGATATACTCTTATAGTTTTGTATAATATTTTCAACTGTATTTAATTTATATTTTCAGTTTTAAAGTTTTAGTAATTTTGATGTGTTGATGTGAATTTGATATGTGATTGTGATGTGTGATTATGACGTGTTTGTGATATGTGATTGTGATGTGTGATTATGATGTGTTTGTGATATGTGATTATGATATGTGATTGTGATGTGTGATTATGACTTGTAATTGTGATGTGTGATTGTTATTATATGTGATTGTGAATTTGATGTGTGATTGTGATATGTGATTGTGATGCGTGATTGTTATTATATGTGATTGTGAATTTGATGTGTGATTGTGATATGTGATTGTGATGCGTGATTGTTATTATATGTGATTGTGAATTTGATGTGTGATTGTGATATGTGAATTTGACATGTGATTGGGATTATATGTGATTGTGAATTTGATGTGTGATTGTGATGCGTGATTGTTATTATATGTTATTGGGAATTTGATGTGTGATTGTGATATGTTTGTGATGTGTGATTATGACGTGATTGTGATTATATGTGATTGTGAATTTGATGTGTGATTGTGATATGTGATTGTGATGTGTGATTATGATGTGTTTTTGTGATGCGTGATTGTGATTATATGTGATTGTGAATTTGATGTGTGATTGTGATGCGTGATTGTTATTATATATGATTGGGAATTTGATGTGTGATTGTGATATGTTTGTTATGTGTGTCTTTTTTTTATATATCTCTGTGAAGTTTTATTAAGTTTTAGTTTGCTGTTTAATCCATAAAGTTAAACTAACCAGAAATGATACATGTTGAAATTAAGTAAATGTATGTTCTTATATTTTATTTCAGTTAATGTTTTTTTTTCTTGTAATTATTTTTTCTTGTTTTAGCTTGATAATAACCCTGATGTGTGATTGTGACGTGTGATTGTGAATTTGATTGATATGTGAATTTGATGTGTGATTGTGATATGTGAATTTGATGTGTGATTGTGATATGTGAATTTGATGTGTGATTGTGATATGTGAATTTGATGTGTGATTGTGATATGTGAATTTGATGTGTGATTGTGATATGTGAATTTGATGTGTGATTGTGATATGTGAATTTGATGTGTGATTGTGATATGTGAATTTGATGTGTGATTGTGATATGTGAATTTGATGTGTGATTGTGATATGTGAATTTGATGTGTGATTGTGATATGTGAATTTGATGTGTGATTGTGATATGTGAATTTGATGTGTGATTGTGATATGTGAATTTGATGTGTGATTGTGATATGTGAATTTGACGATGTGTGATTATTACAAGTGATTGTGAATTTGATGTGTGATTATAACGTGTTTGTGATATGTGATTGTGATGTGTGATTATGACGTGTAATTGTGATGTGTGATTGTTATTATATGTGATTGTGAATTTGATGTGTGATTGTGATATGTTTGTTATGTGTGTCTTTTTTTTATATATCTCTGTGAAGTTTTATTAAGTTTTAGTTTGCTGTTTAGTCCATAAAGTTAAACTAACCAGAAATGATAAATGTTGAAATTAAGTAAATGTATGTTCTTATATTTTATTTCAGTTAATGTTTTTTTTTTCTTGTAATAATTTTTTCTTGGTTTAGTTTGATAATAACCCTGGTGTGTGATTGTGACGTGTGATTGTGAATTTGATGTTTGATTGTGATGTGTGTGATGTGTGATTATTACAAGTGATTGTGAATTTGATGTGTGATTATAACGTGTTTGTGATATGTGATTGTGATGTGTGATTATGACGTTTAATTGTGATGTGTGATTGTTATTATATGTGATTGTGAATTTGATGTGTGATTGTTATATGTGATTGTGATGTGTGATTGTGATGTGTGATTGTTATTATATGTGATTGTGAATTTGATGTGTGATTGTGATGTGTGATTATGACGTGGGATTGTGGTGAGTGATTATGACATGTGATTCTGTGTGTTTCAGTCGGCTGATACTACAGCCCTCAGTCACACTGTCACGGGTCTGAAGCCCAACACCATGTATGAGTTCTCTGTTATGGTGACTAAAGGACGCAAGTCCAGCACGTGGAGCATGACGGCACATGCCACTACTTATGAAGCAGGTACAAACACACAGGCGTTCTTGTCCATCTTATGTTATAAAACACTGAGTATACGGCTGTTTATACTGTGTTATAGCAGAAACAGCCACCTCAGTATCTGATCTGAGTCCATCAACACCTAAGAAAGTGGAGAAAATACTCAAATGCAATAAAGAAATAAAGAAATATTTAGTTCCATGTCATGGGGCCATTAATGTGAACGTGTCGTTCAATTATAGAAATATTAACTTTTGATGTCAAAGGGGTTCCGCTGACAAAAATTTGGGGAATATAATTCTTAATTATTAATATAATAATCACTCAGTTTTGGTATATATAACTACTTGATAAAACACCTCTTCCTGTGGTTTATGACAGCTCTCATCCACCCACCTGTACATGTAGAAAAACAGTGTGTATAAAAGCGTCTTTACTCCAGGAATAGACACATTTATCACTGTCTAAACTAACTGTAGTGAAGACATGAAACATCACGATCATAGGAGGCCTCGGGTTAATGAAGCTGTTTAATTAGTTTCTGTGTAGTGCTGGAATTAAAGAACTGCTCGTCATCTCTGAGCGTCGGATAGTAAAGTCACAGATATTAAATATGAAAGTCTCAATCTGACATGAGCAGAATACAGCACAAATGCTCTCTCTCTCCATTGGTCAGCACCGAGCTCAGCCCCAAAGGACCTGACTGTGATTGGCCGAGAGGGACGTCCACGAGCCATTCTGATTAGCTGGCAGCCGCCGCTGGAGGCCAACGGACGAATCACAGGTGACGCTCAAACACACATGACATGACAGGATAATAATTCAATTAGAGACTGTTTTCCATCACGGTCAGGACACAAATAATCCCATGTGGCAAAAATACAGATTTTTTTTTTCTGGCCAAAATATTTTGCTAAATATATGTTGTAAAATTAATGCTCAATGAATTATATTTTTACAATAAAATATATATTTAGTTTCAACCTTTATATACCAAAATATATTTCAAAATCGTAGAGTAGCTACATTTAGGATAAATGCAAATGTTATGCAATAGTTAAAATGCATTATAATGTTTGCAGATTTCTTGTTACATCTGAAAATTATTGTTTGTCTTGTGTTTTAATGCATTACACTTTCTAAAGATGCAACAATGTGTTATAATGTATTAGAACTGTGGTTACAATTATTCATGATATCATTATAAGGTGCATTACAAGGCATAATTAATGCATTAAAATACTTTAATAATGCATTATATATAAAGACTTTTCTTTTCCCAGTGTTTCCCAGTGTTGTTATTCATTACTAAAACTACAACTGTATATATATATATTATTTTTATTTTTCAAAAATATTAAAGAAATATATTGTTATAAAATATATTTCTGTAAATGTATTTTAGTAAATTTTGTCTATTTATTTAGTTATTTCTTTATTCATGCTATAAGGCATATAAAAGAGTCTTGATGCTGTGAGGGTCAGAAAATGATAACAGACTGTTAATTTAAGTGATTAAAACACACTCATGCTGCTCCGATGGCTCACACACAGATGTTTCATGTGTCTCAGCACAAACGCGATGCTTCATCTGACCTTCATCTGTGTGTGTGTGTGTGTGTGTGTGTGTG